GTGTGTGTGTGTACATATATAAAGTAGAAGACTTTGATACGACACTGTGATACTAGGAGAGTAATATTAGAAAACGAGCAGAGCTCCAAATAGTTCAAAATAGCTGTGCCAACATAACAGATGCATTGCTAAAAAGATCTGCAAAATAATCAAATATGTGAAGGAAAACAGTCTGAAAATCATGACAACATGTGCCAAACATAAAAAAACGATATCACCAAAGAGAAACAAACCCACAGCAATATGGAACATACAAAGTGTACAAGGGACTAGAAAAAAAACAATCTAAAATGGTCTTTAGAGACTTATTAATCAAAATATCTTTGATGCTTATTTATGCTACAATATTTTACTAAAAAAAAACTTTACAACACACTGTGAATTGTAGACACTGCAGTACCAATGTTTAAAATTTCTCTCAATTTGCCATATCCATTGTGCCTTCCCAGTTATACCCAATCAAACCAAAACCAACTGCTATGAAACCAAAGCACAAACATTCACATTTAATGAGGAGCAAAATCTCTGTTTCTCCACCTCTCACCGTGATAACTGTTATTCCAAAAAATGTGAAATGTAAGACAGGGCCAGCCTCACATTTAATGCTGGATTCTAAATGTAAAAATATAATGAAAACACACTTTACCACACTGAATTGAATAATTAACTGACACAATGTTTCTGAAACCTGAGATTCTTATCATACCTGTACAGGTTCATCGTCCACTTTGACTTGTCCAGCGATCTCCATCATATCGAGAGCAAGATGGCAGATTGACTTGGCGTGGTGTGTGCATGGTTCAGGCAGGCCACTCACTGTCATGTACTTATCACCGACTGTTTCCACCTGTATACAGAAAAAACATTTTGTCACTCTTAATGTGATTTGTATCATGACCCTTTTTTGCTTTTGCTTTGCTTTCATCTTATGTGGAATCATATTTTCCCACGGGGATCTTTTCTTTTTCAATGCACTGTGCAGTCAGAAATAAACTAAAACACCCTGAGATAAACACTTAAACACTTACATCAGCCTTAAGAAATTCAGGGCCTCTTTGAGCCCTGCTAAAACTCTAGGACCACCTAGCCATTCGGCTTGTAGAGTAAATATTACTTCTTTTGGTGACCCAGTGCCTGAAGCCGATCCCCTGGAAGTACCGAGGTCTGTTTGACTTCTTAAAGTGCATTCTTGTCTGAAAGCCTGGAGTGTAAATCTGCTGCATGAGGCCTATAAAATGGTGCAGTCCCTCTGTAAAACTACACTGTGTTTAGAAGTTAGTATTACTCTGATGAAAAACTTCAGTCAACTGATATACTCTCTTTTTGAGTAGCATCTGCATAATTGCGTAACATTATTTACCAGAATGGTGCATTTTAGCTTTGGTGCCAGACAACTTTTTGATGAAAAGCACTCAAATCTTAGAATTGAAATCCTTCTTAAACAAACTGATTACAGTCATACTGGGGCAGAAACCCCTATTTTCTATCCCTTCACTGGGAGAAATTCACAAAAATGTGCGATATTCTGTGAAGTTTCTGCTTCCAACCTTGTATACATAAGGGTTCTTCCGAGAGTCTGTCAAGATGTCAAAACGTGTGTAAACATCATTGAGAAGGTTGACAATCTTGATGGCTCCCTCGGCTGAGGCATGCTTGCTGCAGAAAGCATTGAATCCTACAATGCCACTGAAGAGGATGGTCACGTTGTCGTAGCGTTTTGCCGGGACTGGCCGTTTGTGTCGCAGCTCATTGGCAACAGATGGCGGCAGAACGGAATAGAGCAATCTAAAAAGAAGAGGAGAAATGAGTGGTTTGAACAAGAACATAGTTACGGTGGACTCCAGCAGCAGAGTAATGGGCTGGGGCTGCCACACTGAAGTCCGTCCTTTGGATCAGCATTTTATTTGCTCACCCACCACCTTTTGGTCATGTCTCTATGCAAGCTGCTCTCAGATGGGAGGTGGTGTTTCTATGGTAACTGGTTAGCTCATGGCTGCTGTTAAAAGCAAAACACCTTCCACGGTGCATCATAAGTTCAGGACACATGATACCTACATATTAGAATCACCACACAGACATCTATACATGCAAAGTGTATTTAGCGGACAAGAAGATACATGAATACGTAACCCTTAACAATGTTTTTTTTTTTTCCCCCCCAGTGAGGCAAGTGCTTTAACCAAAGCAAAACAGCTCAAATATATGTTCTCATTATCACAAAACATAGAGTTGTAAACATATGAAACGGCAGCAGCAGTTCTCTTAAATATTTAGAGAGGAGCTATGAATTCTAATCAATGTTTGGAGCCTGAGGCACTCTGAGACCAGAGAATGGTTAGAATAACAATATAGGGATCCAACTGGAGAGTGAAAGTCTTTTCCTATAAGAAGAAAGGACTGCTACAGCAGCCTTAATAAAGACCACGCTCCACCTCTGTGCTCATCTCCAGCTGTCAGCCACTGCTGTGCCAAATTACTGTGACAGGCCTGTTTCCTAAACCCAGAGTCAAAACTAAATGAGAGTCTTCACCATAACAGAGACTAGCTTTGGTAAATATCACCTTGCTCAATATATTCTGACTCTAGGTGGTCCTGCTGTGACGCAGTGTTAATATAAAAGCATCTTAATGTATCATCAGTGTTTAACCCTAAAAGGAAATACCTGAGAAGTCCTCACATTTACTTCCCTATAAGATGCACCAATGAACAATCTTTGACACGTATTTTTCTAGCAAAAAAAGCCAAAAATAGAATTACAGCAGTGTGATTGCACGTTTGTCATAATGACCTGGAGGTTGAAACACAACCTAGAGATAATGACAGAGCTGTGGTATGTAATTATAGATAATTTAATAAACACCTTTTCTTAATGACTTACTATGGGGTAAAGTTTGTAAACACTGCTAAATTTGGGTGTAAATGAAAAAGCTGTTGCTTTAGGCAGAGAAATGATAAAGGATCTCTCAAAACAGGCAACGTGGAGGAAGTTAAACAGTTTACCTGTATATCCTGCCCATGCAGTAACAGTAGAAAGCTGGGTAAAACTGGCAAAGTTTCTGTTTGACGTGTTGTTATATTGTCATTTGCTAATAACTGCAGCTACAATGTATACTTGGTTTAGGATAAACAACACATTTTATTAAAACTATAAAAAATAATCAAACCTGTCTGTCTTCTTCTTCTCATCCTCCAGGGCCCGGAGTGTGTGTTGGAGACGATCTGTCAAGATTTCCAGCTCTTGGGTCAACTTGTACTCCTCACGAAACTGCTCACCCAGCAGCACCAGGTCACGAGTGGCATCGTGTAGGGGGATGTCACTCAGGTAAAGCCCCCTCCGAGTTAGATCATCCAGGTTCATAACACTGACCACAAAAGAAGAGAACAGGTTAACAAAGAACAGAAAAAAATGTGAAACTGTTTGCACAGCAGCATTGCTAAAAATGTCTGCTTTCTATCTTAGGTAGCAGGAAAACTGCAGACCTGTGTGTTCTTGCTCATATCAAGACATAAATTAATCAAAACATACAGGATGAACCACTAGCAGTGAGATCACTGTTCTCCTGTCAGGGCTGAGCCTACTGTCTCCTGATAAATGTTCCTGTTGTGGAGTGAGGTCAGATACTGCGCTGCACAGGTCTTCTCTGGTCAGGTGAATGAGCATGTTCTCTGTTTGAGTACCTGTCAGTTATTTCCTGCAGGCTGCAACCTTTTATGAAAACACTGATCTCGTTCCCTACGAAGTGTCTTCGATCTGACAGGACAAGATCTCTTGAACCCTGCTCTCCCGCATCCAATATTTCACTAAAAATGTCTGGCTGGTAATGTAAGGGCCACAGAGGCTAATGGAGGTCACAACAAAAGAACCAACGTAATCACCAGCTCAGGTTTCTTTGTGTTGGTTTTGTCTGTTCCCATGAACCTTGATATATTTTGTTTATGAAAAGCAAAGAAAAAAATACATTTCAGCAGCCTACTCAATTGCCTAATTAACCGACAGTGTTATTCAATGGGGGAAAATATATTTTTTTAAATTAATGTTGACATTTTTCCAACAGTTCATCAATCGTTTTCTTCCTATAATTAACTGTAGTTACACTTTTACATGGATAGAATATTGTCTAGACTAGAAAATACACTGTTAAAGAATAAGGCTTCGTATTACTGACAACAAACTCCTTTAAAAGACAAAAATTAAGGTATTGTCAGTGTAGCTAAAGTCAAACAGAGTCTGTTTTTCAGCACTGTGGACCCTCACTGTCCAAAATGGACCAACTTTATATGTAAGTATCAGTTTACGTGTCACAAGTAGTAACCTTTATTATGTCATTAGGGTTATCTTGATACTGGAAATTGATAACAGAAGGCTTGCATTACAAACTAGGGGTGTAGAGTTTCATAGAAATGGGCATTTTGGCATTTTAAAAATGTAGGATAGCATTTTTGTAGCTTGAGTGACACTAATCTATTTTTCTGAGTGGCCCAATGTCAGAGTAATCCTGAACTTCCTGGAATACCGTTTTAATGAGACATCACCCTGGATGACACTGGTAATTTTTTCAACTGGTATTGATTCAGTTTTAGCTTTCTGATTAAAAAAAAAAAAAAAAAAAAGTTTAAGTTTCAGTCAAATTTTCTTCCATTTGTTTTAGTGTGTTTTAGTGTATTTTTAGTCATGAACATTTAACATTTGAAGTCTAGCTTTCCTCTGTGACAGTTTAGTGTAGTTCCTGCATTTTTGATGTTTGTGTCTTATAAGCATTTCCAGGCTGCAGCTGTCGCCATCTTTGTGTATAGTTGCCATGGTTACAGGTGTTATTCTCGTCGATTGAGAGGTTAGTGGAAAAGGCTCAGTGCCTGTGTCCCTCAGCTTTGCAGTGACACAACAGACAGACTCTCCTCAGTAATGTTTTCATTTCCAGACTCTAGACAAAACCACTCTCTCTGTCTGTCAAGCATTAGCATTAGCAGCGCCGCCACTACAGACCAGCAGCATCTTTCACAAGATGATTCACTTAGCATTTCTGTTCAATCAATTCCAGTTTACATTTATCCAACAGCATTTCTTTAGCGAGCATCTAGAGGAAGCATCAGATTGAGTGCTGTCATTGATCCTGGAATTGACCAGCTCCTTCTGACACAAACATGAAAGAAAACTGACTAAAACATTACATCCACATCACCTGTGTTGAATTAGAAGTGTTAGCTTACTTTTATATATCTGCCACTGCCTGATGATCATAGTTTATCTCAGCTGTTAACAAATGTGTTTCTTCCGAGAACTGATAATGTCAGATGACATTACTAAGCTTCTTAATAACAACAGAGATATTTTGGGCAGTGGAGGAAAGTTTTTCAGAGAGGCTGCTTCCTGTGATTCCACAGATACTGCAGATCACTGAATAAGAAGCCTTGCAACAGCAATTGCATTCATTTGCATTTATGTTTATTTGTTGACAAAAAATAAGAATTTTTTCATTGTAGTTTTCCTATAGAAATATTAGTTTTGTGCAGTTTCAATTTTGTTTTCCTTGTGAACAATAGGTTGTCTACAAATATTTTTTACATTATAGTTTTTGGACAAGAAATTCACAGTACCAGGTGACATGTTTTTCTCCCTGCTGCTGCAATAAATCCTTTTGAGCAATTATTAATCTGCATCGGAAACTAGTCCCCTAAAAATTCCCTATAAACTCCTGTTTAGGAAACAACTGCTAAAAACGACTATGGCCAGATGTTTAGGTAATTACTAGGTCTTCCAAAAAGGGAAATATTGTGTTTGTGACTTTTTGTTGTTATTATTTTTAAGATTTAGGTCAGTGATAATGCATGGCCTTTGAGCCAAACATCACACAAATGTGAACGAAGAGAAGGATCAACACAATGCAGGTAACCATCCTGCAAATTATAAAAATAGTAGCAAAAGTAAACAAAAACAAGCACTGTTGAGACTCATTTTTACCTAAAATTATGGTTTATGTCTGTCATATGTCTGTATTTACAAAACAGAAATGGCATTCGTAAAATCTTGAAATTGCTGTGTCCTCATTCAGTGGGTGAAAGAGAATCAGTGTCTCGGTGTGCATACTCAGTCAGTGCTTCTGTCAGGTTAGGCTGCACTGTGGGCTTACCTGGGTGAGCAAAGAAAAAGGATGTTCTCTGCCTCTGGCAAGTAAATCATCTGTCCTTTCAATCTCAGACAGCTGATCTCCACCCCCGTCAGCTCGTCCTCATTCTCTACAGTCTCTACATTCAGCAGACCCTCCTGTCAGGATTACATCACTTTCATGAATATTTCATTTTATCTGCTTCAAAACTGGGTACCAGTTCAGCTCACTCTTTATTTTTAAATCTGTACGCTTTTCACTTTAAATGTTAAATGTATCAGCCCTATTTAAGAAAATTGAATTAGATTTTGATGTGTGGTAAAAGAAAAAAAGATCAACTCTTTGTTCATGTGTCATTTATGTAGCGTCCCAAGAGTGGAAGTACTTTGAGGATCAGTGTCTTCACAATGCATATTATCTACTTAAATGTTGTTGTACTTCCAAGAACCTGCAGCTACTATTTTAACACCTAAGAGTTTATAATCCCATGAGACACACGAGTACACAAATTTAGCTTTTAACTCATTTTCTATTCTTGCTCTACCTTTCCTTTCTGAGTTTTCATTTGATTTCACACTGAAGTCTGTGGTCATGAAAAATTTGCTTCACTTTTCTGTTTTGTTGTTTCTCAAGTTTCTCACTGTTTTGTCTATCCAGCAAGTCAACTGCAAGCTGTTCTTTTGAACTGGACATTTAGATATTTTCCAGATTATATGAAATTCTACACATCAATGGGATTTGTTTGCATGCTCATTGATCCTCACTTACAGTGTTGAAACCCATAGAATTTAATACAATTTTATGCAGCTTCTAAAAATATTGGTGAGCTCATCAAACACATTCTGTCATGTACAATCTCAAATCCATTTTTGGATCATTTTAGACTTTGTGTATTTTAGCATTTCCTGCCAGTAGAAAACTAAGCCAACACAAGAAATGCACTGGCATGATTAGAAAACTGCCTGTTGACAAAAACAGAGTAGTATGTCACATGTACCTTGCTGCGCAGAACGAAGACGGTGTTGATGTGGGAAAGAATGCCATGATAACTGAAGTCAATGTGAGGACGGACCAGAGAAAAGACTGAAGGGAGGATACAGGTACCCGGCTGGAGCTGGCATGTAAAACAAAAAAATGCATATTTTAGTTACATGGAAATTGTTGCTTTGTTATCAATATAATCAACTAAGTGCATTGACTAAAAATGCAAAACAAAACCAAGTCCTATTGCATTATTAGGTCTAAAACATAATTAGGTTCTGACTTTATAAACTTGGGTATGCGCACCTGTGGCAGGACTCGGTAAATGGCGTTCCCACATTGTGTGAGCATCAGGTCCTTGTCAAACATGAGGTGAAATGGGAAGGCTTTGCAAAAGGTATAGGGACTGATCCGAGTCTCCTGAGTGCCGTTCTCCTCGAAACCATCAAGATCTTCGTAGAACGCCTCCTCCTCCGAGTCCTTCTCCTCTATCAGAAACTTAATGTGGTCGCACTCCTCACTTTTTGGTTGGATCATCTGCATCAAGTGAAGATAAATAATAGATAGAATATTGGTGAAATTTTATTATACTGTAACAAACGATGGCAGCAAAAAGACGCCTTAATGAAATGTCTTCACCTCGCACTGTTAATGTCATTAATATTATCCCAACGGTACTATTATTAACCTTGTGTGTCTTATATAGATTTAGGAGGGTAATAAATGACATTCTGTGGGTTTATGGGCATAAGGCATGCTGACGTCAAGCAGCCGTTTCTGCACCCTGTTGCCACAGCAACACTGGCTAATACTTCCAGAAATTGGGTGTCACATTTGGAGCGTCTGCCATTTTCTGTCCTTTCATTACACACACAATTGCTGAAAAATATTATCCTGTCTGTACAATATGATTAGTTTGGGGAGAAAATGTCACTGATGAAATGAAGAAAAAACGCCACTCAAATACAGTGGATGTCTGAGGAGAATAACATGCTGCAGTTATTGGTTCAGATTACAGACTGTGACTTGTGGGCTGAACATTAACATACAAATAAAAATACCAATAACGCATAGTTTATGACATCAACTGATACAAATATTCATTCCAGTTTAGTCAAAATCTGATTTGTCTGGCTGAGGTCAAGATAAAAAATATTGATCTTTCCTCAATTGTCTAATTAAAATGCAGTCAATAGCCACTTTACAGTCAGCCGCAGTTAGACGATGTTAGAATAAAACTGAGGAGCAGGAATAAAACTGCCTGAAAGATTCCCAACATCTCCAAACTAGAGACTCTATAACTTAGATCTAAAAATATCCTCTGACTCACAGACATTAGCCAAAAAAACCTCATTGCTGAACTGCAGTTGTCACAGCGTTCCCATTTGGGTTTTTGGAAAGTTTGTGTTGTTTAATCTTCACATTACAACTTCTTTAATTATATTACATTGGCTTTTAGGCCTTATTGAATATTGGACTGTAAATTTTAGAGGAACTAACAAAACTTTAAGTCATCTTCATTCATCATCAGCAGCAGAGTGAGCAATTAGAGCTGTGGGTTTCACTGTGCACCAAAAGCAAACAGAAACAGCAAAGCAGACCTTCATCTCTATCTCTGTTCCGTGGATTTGTTGAGCGACAGTTTTAATGATGCCAATGACGATGTCTTGCAGGCCTTCTCTCTCGGAGTAGTAGTGGAGAATCAGATTGTTTCCTTTCTCTGCATCGGTGCAGCGAAAAGAGGGAGCCCTCATCCCAGGATAGATGGTACCCAGGTGATCATGTAGAGCATCCAAATTCTGAAATTTAGATTTGAACATTAAATATGCAACAACCAATCACAACACAATTAGGAAAACAAAAGGCGGATTTAAAAATGTATGTTCAAAGCTCAAGCAGTAGCTGAGATATCCTGATCGTTGAATTTAGTAAAGAAAACAGGTGTTTTTCCTACACTGAAGTTGGGTCGGGTGTTCACCACAGAGCCCTCATCAAAGCATGTGTGACAGCACCTGCACAATTGCAGAAAGATCTTCTAGCCCTAACAACACAAATTTTGTTTCCTCTGGAACGCTGCTTTTCTGTGGAGTTTGTTGTTCGGGATAAAAAGATAGGATCCTTGTGTGATTCACAAGATGATGCATTGTTGTTGACGCATGGTTTATCCAACCAGGGGCCAAGTTTTTTTTGTTTTTTGTTTTTAAGTGCCTGCCCTTTTCTAGTTTCCACAGAAAACTTCTCAGATTATTCTGTGTGACAAAGCATCCGGCATGTGGGTTAGCAAGAACCAGCTGTACAAACAGATTTGCTCCTAACTGCACATCAGGGGGATTTACGTGAATTTGTGGCATTTTCCAATTTTGTCGCATTTTCTTTTAGGTATAAACTAAATCCAGAAAGCGTCCAGATCTGTCCAACAAGTCATGAACAAATACACTGTCTTTCTTCAAAGGGGGAAATCACAATTGTTTGGAGAAGTGCAGTGGCTCATTCTGAATGAATTTGAGGTTAAATGTGATCCAGAAATTGATTTAATTCAAAAATAAAATTAATTAAATTACCATATCATAATCACCCTGGCTTGCCAATTTACCAAGAAGTTTTTTTTAATACTTTTATTGTCATATTTTGTCACAGCAGCAACATTTCAGTAGATAAGTAGGATGAGAACATAGAAAATTCTCCTACAGTGACAAAGCTCATTGCCATAATGCAGGTCAGTGTCTTGCAGCCTCTGTATTACCGTGTAACATCACCAGTTTAGGCTATAATATACTATAATATTTCTGTGATTGCTGTCCCCTTTGCTGCCTTGAACATTCAGAATGTCGTGTTTAACTCCATGCAGCCTGAAATATTCCCTGTGTTTTTCTTACAGTACAATATTGCTCTGTTCTGAAAGATGCTCTACTAACATTTTCAAACTGTTTTGGAGCCAGTAATGTTACTGTTGGCGCTGCTTCAGTTCTTGTCAGCTGATTTTTGACAGCAGACTTGAAGCTGCACAGTGTGAAATTCCTTTTTTTTTTTTTTTTTTTTTTACTACTATATGACAATTTTGTAAAACTTTCCCACAATCGTAGCGGATCAGTACATGGTAATTTTAGGGTGTGCTGATTATGGCAATGATCGAATCTCACAAACACGCTCGCCTGAAGAGGTGGTTTTTCTCAATCTGAAACAATCAATTTCTGACAAGTAAATTATCCTGCATGAAGTCCACTGATGTTTTTTGAAGTAGAACATTTAACTGAACTAATCTAGGATCCTACTGCATAATGTTCTGCATTATAACATCGTTCTCCACCCTGTAAGTTCCCATGTCTTTCAATCTTCCCATGTACAGTACATGTACAGTTTGCTACTCTGGCTTTCTGTCACAAAACTTCTTTCTAAGCTAAAACGACAACAAAGCTACAGCCGAACTACATACGACATGATTATACAGTCAGCCTTAACTAGCGTTACCGCCTAAAAGCAAAGAAACATTAGCCTACCTGCAGGAATTCCCTAACATTTGAGCCCAACACACGCAAGATGGTATCATATCCCGACTCCTGGCAAAATTCAAAAAACATCTTCCCAAACATCTGCAAGATGTCTCCTGCGTCAATCTCTGAAATACAGAAAAACATATTAATGTCTGCATTGTCATACAGGCTGAAATATTGTCATAAAGCTCCATATATCATTTATCACATTAAATATTTTTATTTTCAGAGATCTAAAAACATACTGTTACTTACTGAGAACTTTACTTGCAGCTGCGACAAGATCATATGTTTTGGCATCTTCATATATAATTCTAACAAGGAACTGACCCTCGATATCAAGCTGAGCCTCCCTCCTGAAAAAAAGGGAAGTTGTTACTCATGAGCTGCAGCAAATGTTACAGCAGAAGTAAACAGTCCTTGAAGGCAACTTGTTCAGGCAACCAATAGCTTTGCTTTTTCCAAATTGCTTTTCTGTTGTTGCTTAAATCACAGAGGTTCTCGTGTTTACATGAACAACTCAACAGTAACTTCTGTGTGGTCAGTCAGTGTGCACTGTCTTGATTTATACCACAGCAACAAGAGAGGATTATCATTTTGCTTTGAGGTGGTTTTGCAGTTTCACAGCTACGCTGCTGAACAAGTGGGGATGATCAGGTTTAGATCTACTGCAGGTCTGTCGATAAGGGATCCAAGGCCAAGGTGCACTTTGCTAATTATACATTTGACAATCCAGATTTTTACGAAATTATCAGAAACCTTAATGAGGTTTTGATTACCAACATTTAACTAAGAAAACAGAAATGATTTACAGGCCTGACCTGCCACCACAATTTCATCAGCATGAGCTCCAGCTGGAAAAACATACCAAGCCTTGAAATGGTTTGCAAAGAAAATAAGAATTTTGCCTTGAATTATGCAGCTCATGAAAAACTCAAGAGGAAAATACCAAACCTGATAAATTGACCATTAAATAACAAGGAGCTGCATACAACACATAGGCCTGCACTGCAGTATGTAGTTTGTGGTGGCTGGAAAATGACCACTTTGAAAACATTTACACAAGGCAGCTGCTGCTGTCTTTTCCCTTTCTTTCTTTCTTTTTTTGGGAAGGGTCACGGCTAGGGCAGTAAAGACGACAGATGAAAAATAAACTTAGTTTGAGCCAAATATTTCAACATGCTGAAAAAATGAGCACTACACTGGAGAGGAAAGACATTAAAACTAAGTTCTAAATTCACTCTTAGAGGGGAAATAAAACTACTGTTTGTTGAAATCAGGTACAGCACGTTCTCTATCTACTGTGTATCATACAAAAACTATGCCAGTAAGCAAAAAGCAGCTGAGATACACAGAAAATGGAGGGATGTACGAACATTTGTAAATTCACACAAGTGGTGTACTTTAGTTGAATTTTGAGGCAGTGTCTTGGCTTCCTTTGAGGACTTTGACATCACATGTTCTGTATTTTGGATCATTCTGAATATTTTTTATGAATATTGGGACTTTGCATTGTTTGTATTTATCTCAGAATCAGAATCTGCGAGTTTACTAATGGTTTATTTAACCATTTACAAACCCCACCAATGAAATGGGTTGGGTAAACACACACACACACACACACACACACACACACACACACACAACAATATATAAAGCAATAGAAATGTTTTAATAGTTGCACCCCAACCAGGTACATCAACACAATAACATTAGAATTTATTTTACACATTAAACTGTAAGGAATAATAAATACATATTCCAGTTTTATACTCACAGGGGACATTTTTCAGCATGATAAATACTTTGACTTTTGATGATCCAAGTACTTTTTGCTTCCAAAAGATTTTCAAGGCATTATTATCACTTGGGTCTGTCGCATTACTTCTTTTCCCTGCTTTTTAGAACTTTAATAAACAAATATTTTTGGTCTGCATTTGTAGCTTACAACTATTGAAGATGAAAATGGCAGAATTGTAAATGCAATATTTGTACTCTCTATCTATTTGTACTAACTATCAGAGAGTTTCATTGTGAACCAGCAGAGGACGGAGGTTAATCATTACAGTAAACATGTATTCATGCTGCCTGGACAGTAGGCCTGTGTGGTGTTCTCGTTGTGGACACAGTGTAACCTGTGATAACAACAGGGCTGAGAAAGTAAACACATTCAGAAACTCACTTGATGTCCTCCCACACCTCCGGACCGTAATTCCTTAAAACGAGCAGCTCCAGAGCGTGATTCACAAAACCATACTGTAAATTTACAGAAAACACGAGCAACGTGAAGACTATTTCGTGGAACCAGGCAATTTAACTCCAACATGTACGTGTTTCTATACGATATTATACAGGCTTAAAATTATTTACGAGCTCAAACATGATTGCATATTCCTTCCACCTGTTAATAAAACACTCCGCTGTCATGGTAATCATAGAAATCATTGTATAACGGCGACACAGTGCTCTCCCAACAGGAAACGTCAAATACACCGCTTCGAGCGAGAAACAGCCAATTTCACCAGCATTAAAATAAAACACAAAAATACACAACGATATATACGTACCATGTTGGCTGTTGCTTGTCTTTTTTCTTTATTTTTAAGCGAAAATCGTTGAATCTGACAAAACCTTCATCGCTAGGTACAGATGCTGAGTGTCGCTGCGTCCATGCCCCGTTTTTTCCGTCAAGCCGGTGACTGACAGCCGATCTGTCCAATAGCAGACCGGAGAGACGCTTACGTAATCCGTACGTGACCAATGAGAGCGAAGCTGTTGTTGTCCAAGTGATGCTGCTCAACCCGGAGGCTCCGCAGATTCACAGCTTGGTTTACGCGTTAAATTTTATTTTGCTGACATTATTTTTATGTCATTTTAAATATTCTGGGGAAATTACAAAAACAAAAAACAAAAACATAATGCATTCCCAAAATACAAATGACCGAAAAGTGTCAGTTAAAACGATATTCAAATTTACAGTGGAAGTACTCGGATTCTTTACACTGGTAAAGCGAGGAACACGACAGATGTAATATTTTTTTTTTTAAATGAAAGTACATAAATCAACATTTTACCTCATGGTAAAAGTGCAGTAACTATCTTAGGTATTGTAGTATCAACAGTACAGCAGCACGACTCCTTGCGCCTATGTGTGTACAGTAATTGCAAAAGTTTCAGCAATTAAATCCATTTTTAAGTAGAATTTTTAACCATTATTTATATAGAGGTATTTCACTGGTCCCAGTTTCATTCTACAACATGACAATGACCCAAACAAATATCCAGAGTAATTAAGAAGTATCCTTAACTACAAAAATATATATATATTTTTCAAACATTATCACTTCACTTGTGCACAGTATTGTATTTATTGGGATACAACTACTGATTTATTAATTTCTAACACAGCATTTTAATGGTGTAGCTCAAAAGCTGAAGAGAATCCATTTTCACAGTTTTATGTATGTTGGATTTCTTTAACTCAGCAATGCATTAGGTTTAATTAACTGATCATGTGTTGCTGCTTTTTTTTCTGGGAATCTCCATAGTAACCAGTATCTAGCTGTCAGATAACTGCACTGGACTCAAAAGTACAACATTTTCCTCTGAGACATAGTGGAGTGTAAGTATAAAGTAGCATCCAACAAAGTGAAACACTAAATGTAGTCCACTGTTCTGAGTCATATCATAATTCTGCTTGGGTCAGTTGAAATCAAAAATATTGCATAAATATATACATATTCTGAATGTTCTCATTGCTATGCTACGTACTACAGAGTCAGTCACTTAAGTCTGTTAATGCCAATATTTATTGCACTTTGATTACATTACAATAATGATTAAAGCACATCATTATGAGTGATAGCAAAACATTCATGGTATTCTTGCTGTGTCATATTCCCTCTGTGCAGGAAAAGAGTGCTACAAAGCTCATGTAATAAATATAGTGTCAGTGTGTACAGTGAAAAAAGTAAAAATATGCATACGTTACTCTTCTTCATATATATTAGGAAAGTGGGCTCTAGGAAGGCTTTATCTCAACACATCACACACATCGAAAACAATGCTGTCGGTTGTTTGTCTGCCTGTGGGACACATTATTGACATTTTTTGTCATATTGATTATATTTAATGAAAAAACTAATAATAAAACTGATAAAAAAGAACTACAAATATTTTAACTTTGTCTGAAATCTTACATCTGTGACCCTGTCTGTATAGTTCCCATAAGGCACCTGAATCTGCTCTGCATTGCTTAGCTTCTTTAGAGGTTGAATCCTAAATGTTAAAATGACTTTCGATTTCTTTTCAATTATTTGTCAGAAAATTCTCCCCTGTAACACAAAAAGCCAATTCAGTTTCATCTTGACTTCAGCTGACGTACCATCAGCGCAAGGTGCTTTAGCAGGTACCTACTCAGGGCAGTAAAGGATGGATCAGATATCAGATATTTACAAACCACAATCCATTTAGCAACTTCACATCCACAATGTATTCACTGTGCAAGATTATATATTTCATTTGTTTGTTTTGTGTGCTTTTTGGCCACATTTACTGCGTGTTTTATAATCATTTTTGTACCTCTTAGCTGTCAAAAAGAACAAAACAGTCCAAAAGTCTTCCAATGACAGTACATCTATGTCTCTGGCAGGAGCTACAAATGAAAGCTGCTCAGTTTGCAGAAATGACTTATTCTGGAAGAAAGATGAAGTGAGTTTCTCTCCACTACAACAGTACAAATGGATAATTGCGCAGAGACTACACTTATGTTTGACAGTGAACTGACATCTCTGTAATTAAGCAGCTGCAAGAGTTTGACTGGAGGACAATATCATTAATGTCGAAACAACCCAAATCAAAATATACAAGGTAGTTGCACTGTATTCACTAGATACACTTATGCTTCTTCATATCTAATGTTTTATTTTTGTTTTGTTTTTTTTTAAGGGGGCTTCTGCGGCAGGTGAACTTCACTTAATAGTCAGTGTTGAAGTTTTGTAGGGTGCTTCCAAAAAGTAACAAACGCCAGGGATATCTTCTGGGAAGTTGGCCGGAAGCTCCTGTCTGCTCCTGGGAACAAAGACAAACTCTGGGCGACCTTTCAGCAATCTGGAACAAGGAACACACAAATAAAACATGAATCTAAAAAAGAGTTATTTGACACAAGAGGAAACACAGTGCTCTTCTAAAAGTTCATTTTCCTGTCTGGGACACTTGTGCTTTTTTTTTTTTTTTTTTTTTCTGCAACAACCACTTGTGGAAACAACTGATATCATCCAGACCTACTGTATACTGACATATTTACAGTCGTCCTCACATGTATTCATACCCTTCCATTAAAGAGAAGGCAGATTTCACAATAGTCACTCAAATAGCTAGAAACAGAAAAAAGCAATAATACATTTAAAAATGCTAAATTATAATTTAGTGAAAAAAGACATTGTTTTTGAAATTGTGGCTGAAAAGAATAATCTAACCAAAAAAAAAAGAAAAAAAAATGTCCCAAACAAAAGAGCACTTTGCTGATGAGCAGTGGGCCAAAATCAAAATACCTGTCAACAGGTGCAGAAGTCTGACTGAGAGTTACAGAAAACACTTGATTGCAGTGATTGGCTCAAAGGGTTGTTCAACAAAATATTAGTTTATGGGTCCCATCATGCTTGTTTGCTTTTCTTTCTTTTTTTTCTTTTTTTTCTTTTTTTTTAAGTATTTCTGTCGAACCACAATTCAAAAGCAATGTCATGATTTTCATAAAATTTTTATTTATTACTATTTTTGTCAATTTCAACTTATTTCAGTGACAGCTGTTTTTTTTTCTTCTTTAATGTTTGTCTTGTCAGTCGGATAATATATCTTGAGTGAGCAGTGAAGAGTTACTATGAGGTACAGTTCTCGCCGTGATGATGATGATGACAGCCTTCCTTCACCTGTGGGTTGTCGGGCTGATGTTGATTTTACCGGGTTGGCTACACGACTCAAACTTGTTCGCCAAGGTGACATTGTTTCCAAAAAGGCAGTATCGTGGCATCTTCACCCCAACTACACCAGCCAGTACTGAACCACTGTGGAGGCCGATACGCATCTGGGGGGGCAAAAAATGCAGAGTTTTACTCAGTTTCTCTCTGGTTTGTATATGTATAAATGTGAGCAATTTTTTGGGCAGTGCAATACACATTCCTGAGTTTGTTTTCATGCTGTTATCCTCATCAGTAGTTGGCGGAAGTAAAATCTAAACAAACATACAAATGCACCAACAAAGACAGCAGGAAAGATTACGAGCAAGTAGACATGGATGGACAATAAATTTGGTGTACAATTTAAAATAGTTTTAAAAAAACAGCTTTGTCAATATTTTATGAGGAGAGAAATGCACTCATCGCATTTGTTAGACCTCGAGGATACACACAGTGGATTTTACTGAGTAACAATGAATGAAAACCTTCTGAATCTGTCAGCTGTGGACATCGTCGTCTCAGACCTGCTGAGGTCAGGATAAACACTTCCATAAAGCTGCTGTGTGACAGATAAGAACCTAAGCAGCAAAAGTCTCTATGACCTTTGCACAGTATTGTAAGTGTCATGTTTTCAGTGTTGAATACAGTTACCATAAATACTTTTTTTTGGTGGGGTAGAGGCAGAGTTTTAGCAACCACTGAGGAAATGTTCTTAATGGGATTTCTGGGCATTTGGATCAGGAGCAGAGCCAAGGGATGACCCAGGGGCCACCTCAGACTTAAATCTGGCCACCCAGCACAACCAGTTGTGGGGCCCATCAGAGGGTTATGCAGATACTTGTAAAACTGTATTTCTATACTCACTCTAATGCAATTTTAACTTTAATATCAGCAATTATAAAACAAAGCTAAAAACAACTATTCCAAAATTTTTACAAATAAAATAAATTGAGGGTAACATAAAAAAGCTTCATGTATATAGATGTCCTTTCAGTCTGCATGCATTCACGCCTGTATAGGTGAATGACAAATGCAAGTGACCACAATGACTGACTAATAAATCACCTCAAGTGATTTACACTCAGAAGTTAAAGAATTACGAGTTATCAGTGTGAGTAATTGTCTTAGCCTGGCCATTCCTAAAATACTGTCACTGATTTAGGAGGTTAGGAAACATGTTGGGTATGACTGATTCCTATTGTTTTTTTTTTAGTAAAATATCTTAAAATGTGAGACTTTAGAAACAAAATGCTGCATATATGTATCACCACACAGGCATTTTTACACATCGGTATA